CATTCCAGGCACGGCGGGCACAGCCTCCCCAAGGCGACAGGTCCGTATGCTTACCTTGCTGAGCCATCTTTGAATATCATACAGTTGTTTACAGGATGGATAAAGCTGATAGGATAATCAATTGCCTGTGACCATATATCTCCTCCTTTCCTACCTTATGTACATGTTGACAATCTTAGTTATGAGCAATTTTTCTTTTACTGTAGACCTAGTCCGGCGCACTTGGGTGCAGTAGACGAGTACGGCTGCACGAAGCTCGACCTGTAGCCCCTACGTTACACTTGCATCGAACCTATCGCACAGGTAGTCTTCGTACTCTCTATTAGAGGGGCGATATCGTCACGTCTTTGGAAAGTCGCAAATTTCTGTTGTTGACTGCACCTCTTGAGTACGCTTACAAAGCCCTGACAATTCTTTGATGTTGGGTCAGAACTGAAGGTTGCAGCGCATTTATGCATACAAGACCGTCCTAATTGTGAAATCGCTAGGAATGGCGTCTCGGAGCTTTGTCCTAGCCCCCTGGCAGCCCAACGGCCTATGATTAGACTCGCGAAACCCTATAATATCAGCCCAACGACAAACATAACAATATTTTTGCGATATGTATTGCAATATTTTAAGTAACAGAACGCGGGACATTACTTGGCTCTGCACTGACCATGGGCATCGGCAACAGCTGCTCCAGCCGTGGTTCTGCGGCTTTAATACAACAATGGTCAGGAAACGCTAATCAAATTGAGCCGTGTACATGGTAGGGTTAAGCCACGAAAATTATCAACGTATCGGCAGAGTTATGGGCTTCGTTTTCTTGGCGGCGGCTACGCTGACTCGGTTACGTACCTACCGCTGAGGCAATCTCGCACTTTAAGGCCAGGGTTATGAGCTCCAATTCTTATGGTCACAACGCACCAGCCGTGCCTTGCAGCCGTGGCACAGCCTCCACGTGAAGTTAATAGCGGGTTGGCTCTTCTTCTCTTCCCCGGAGCCTTACAGAGCTACAGATCTTTATCAGTGTGTCCAACTGACTGGGTGTAGGTTTCGTCCGTAAGCACTGCTGCCTGGCAGTGCACATTTCGCCCACGATCCAAACCATGTGGAAAAGGCCGCAAGCTGCACCGCCTGATAAATACTGTTTTTGCCTAACATGCCAGTACTGGAAGGACGCGACTTGGTGTAGGGGCGCAGGAATTGGAGTCAAGAGTTGCCCGAAAAGAGGGTGACATAACGGGGCCACCTCTTAACAGACCATAACGAGGGTAGGAACGGAGTTCAGATCACCCAGGGGGCCGGCTGACACAATACGCGAACAGGTTGGCCCTTGTAAGCTAACCTTGTAGCTAGCCCGGTATTACCTGGCTACCGGAGTCGGGTAGCACGCGTAAACACTACCTGATGAATAAGCCAAATTTGCCAAGCGAGGGTCCTCCGCGCATGCCAGGTTAGCCTGGCGGGGCCCTGTGTAAGCCAGGCTGCCGGGTAGTTTTACAGGTATGGGGTCACG